TAACCCTAACCTTAACCTCTACCCGACTCCCGATTTTCATGACTTGTGACTCAACCATCGGCGACTCAGACTTGCCTTCTCGTGACTTATATTTGCACTTGGACTGGATAGGTTACGATAAGCAGAATATTAGCAGCACTGGGTGCCCAGAGCAACGAGGATTCTGTTTTCTAGCAGTGGGAAGGACGTGCCACACCCGGCACACTCAGCCTACATCAGCTGGTGAGCTGCAGGGAGAGCAAGTGATGATTGTGGCAAGGCAGGCTATGTTCCGTCGCTGCCTCCGATCATAGCCTAAACACATAGACTCTTGCTTCCCCGTAACCACCAGTCACCAGCTTACTATTTAGCTTTGCCTGGTTGAAAAACACAAACTTCTTACTAGTATTGAGTTTAATGTGTAAATCAAATGATACAAACCCCCAAAAAATCTATTTTAATTCCAGGTTGTAAGGCAACAAAATATGAAAAATGGCAAGGGGGGTTAATACTTTTGCAAGCCACTGTATATACTGAGATCATGTGACACTTAGATTGCACACAGGTGGACTTTATTTTACTAATTATGTGACTTCTGAAGGTAATTGGTTGCACCAGATCTTATTTAGGGGCTTCATAGCAAAGGGGGTGAATACATATCCACGCACCACTTTTCCGTTATTTATTTTTTAGAATTTTTTGAAACAAGTTATTTTTTCCATTCCACTTCACCAATTTGGACTATTTTGTGTATGTCCATTACATGAAATCCAAATAAAAATCAATTTAAATTACAGGTTGTAATGCAACAAAATAGGAAAAACGCCAAGGGGGATGAATACTTTTGCAAGGCACTGTATGTAGTAAATACACTGAACAAAAATGTAAAAGCAACATGTAAAGTCCCCTGTTCCATGAGCTGAAATAAAAGATCCCAGAAATGTTCCATACGCACAAAAAGCTTATTTCTCTCAAATGTCGTGCACAAATGTGTTTACATCCATGTTAGGCAGCATTTCTAACCAATCCTAAATAATCCATCCACCTGACAGGTGTGGCATATCAAGAAGCTGATTAAACAGCATGATCATTACACAGGTGCACCTTGTGCTGGGGACAATAAAAGGCCACTCTAAAATATGCAGTTTTGTCACTCAACACAATGCCACAGATGTCTCAGGTTTTGAGGGAACGTGTAGTTAGCATGATGACTGCAGGAATGTCCACCAGAGCTGTTGCCAAAGAATGTAATGTTCATTTCTCTACCATAAGTGTTGTTTTAGAGAATTTGGCAGTACGTCCAACTGGCCTCACAACCGCAGATCTCGTGTAACCACGCTAGCCCAGGACCTCCACATCCAGCTTCTTCACCTGCGAGATCGTCTGAAACCAGCCATCCGGACAGCTGATGAATCTGTGGGTTTGCATAACTGAAGAATGTCTGCACAAACTGTCAGAAACCGTCTCAGAGAAGCTCATCTGCGTGCTCATCGTCCTTACCAGGGTCTTGACCTGACTGCAGTTTGGCGTCGTAACCGACAAATGCTCACCTTCGATGGCCACTGGCACGCTGGAGAACTGTGCTTTTCACGGATGAATAAGGGTTTCAACTGTACCAGGCAGATGGCAGACAGCGTGTATGGCGTCATGTGGGCAAGCGGTTTACTGATGTCAACAGAGTGCACCATGGTGGCGTTGGGGTTATGGTATGGGCAGGCATAAGCTACGGACAATGAATACAATTGCATTTTATCGATGGCAATTTGAATGCACAGAGATACCGTGACAAGATCCTGAGGCCCATTGTCGTGCCATTCATCCGCTGCCATCACCTCACTCGGGCTCCCGAGTGGTGCAGCGGTCTAAGGCACTGCATCTCAGTGCTTGAGGCGTCACTACAGACCCCCCGGTTCGATTCCAGGCTGTATCACAACTGACCGTAATTGGGAGTCCCATAGGGCGGCGCACAATTGGCCCAGTGTTGTCCGGGTTTGGCCGGTGTAGGCCGTCATTGTAAATAAGAATTTGTTCTTAACTGACTTGCCTAGTTAAATAAAGGTTAAATAAATAAAAAATTCAGCATGATAATGGAAGGCCCCATGTCGCAAGGATCTTTACACAATTCCTGAAAGCTGAAAATGTCCCAGTTCTTCCATGGCCTGCATACTCACCAGACATGTTACCCATTAAGCATGTTTGGGATGCTCTGGCCAGTGATGCCAACTTAGCAATTTTGTTGCTAGATTTAGCAACTTTTCAGACTACCCTGGCAACTTCTTTTTCATACAGCACCTAGCAACAAATGTAGCTACTTGTAAACATTTATTTGGAACTTTTAGCAACTTTTGAAAAGGGACTCAAATGCTAAAATGCACGCATTTCCCCTCTAAATGACACAAAAACGATTTTCTGTCACACACTCAGTCACAACACACGTGCCTGGCTGCAAAAGTGCATTGTGAGTGACGTCAGCAGCAGGCGCTCAGCTTGTGCACAGGCAGCAGCAGACCAGTCAAGCAGCACAACAACCTGGAGAGAGCTGGAGAGAGATGCCTAGCGCACACATCATTATTTGAGTTAAATTGCTTGTTTAATAAGATAGCGTATATACCTTGTTATTAGCTTGTACCTATAATTGTTGATCAGTTAGGCATGTTAACTAACTACCAATACACTGCTTAAAACTATAATTGTTCAGAAAGTGTAGGTTTACTAGTTAATAAGAAAATAAATCAAATGTAATTGTTCAATAATGTGTAATGTGTAATTGTTCAATAATTAAATGTGTTGTGTTTAAAAATAAAAACATCTGATCATATAAAATGTGTTGTGTTTATATTACTTTTACAAATAAAAATATGTGATGATAAACAAACAAATCTAAACTAACAAATGTCAAATCATATTTGTTGCAGAGATGGCCAGTCAATTTGAGTAACGTTATTGTGTATTCTACGTAATGACGCAGTTTTAAGTTATTACATCATGACGTCATCACGCAATGACGTCACAACTTCATTTAGCAACAAATCGACCTGCAAATTTGCAGAGCCATTGAAGAAGAGTGGGACAACATTCCACATTAATTTCTTTATATGAACTGTAACTCAGTAAAATCTTTGAAATGGTTGTGTTTATATTTTTGTTCAGTGTAAGTATTCAAGCACAGGTATTGAGTGGAACTTGTGAGGTAGTGATTAATAGTAAATTTGTTTAGGTTTTTCATTAGGGAGTGGCGATATACTGTCATGGTGGTGACTAGAAACAATTGCATAATAAGACCTGTTGTAAATTGATGGACTCCTAAGTCAATGGTCTTGTACTTGATTTCAGCCATAGGGACTAGTGACTCCACTCGAGCACAGGGGACTTGGGACTCGACTTGGACTCGAGGTTAAGTGACTCGACCACAACACTACTCCCCCTACCCTAACCCCTTACCTAACCCTAACCTCAACCCTTACTTAACCCCTCAAATGTAAACTTCAATGGGGTGTGGACCGTTTTTGAACGTTCAGATAGAAATAGGCTATGTAGAACAAACATGCCTCTTTGACATGTAGAATAAGAAATCACATCCGCTCTATTCATCCTTATTCTATCTGCGACGTTCGAGAACGTTTGGCAACTGAACGTGGCCCTTGGCTAGCGCGTGCGTTTTAAATATTCAGGCTTGCAAATAATTTACCAAAATAAATGGGAAAACTACATATGAATAAATTCTGCGGTTGCAGTTCTGTCACTTTACTTCCTGCAGCGATTTTTGAACTTTTACTTTTGAAAAGCGATATCCCAAGTATAAATACAGTAATGGGTTAAAAACAAAAAATACAAATTGTATTAGTAACACGAGCCGAGTGCTCATCCGCCTTAGGTAAGACGTGGCAATGTCTGACGTCATTAGAACGCGGCCATCTTTCCACAGTTAGTGCATTTGCTACTTCTCTTTTGGCTCAATACATTGGAAATTGATTGATTTTCCACCCAACTCGTTTCTCTGGAATATCAAGATTTCAGGTAGGAATGCATGTACTTCAGCGTGCTTCTGTCAAGTGCAAATAAGTCAGTCATTACATTAATGCCTTTGTCTTGCGGTAAATCAGTCAAGCTAGCTAGCATGAACCAGCATACCTAACGTTAGCTAGCTAGCTAACTTGCAAGTCTAGCTCTAGTTTGTTAACAGTAGCTCTAAAACCGCAGGCTCGCAAAAAAACTAAAAGTTCTAAAATAATTGTGCATTTAGTTAGCCATAACGTTATGTCGCCGTTGATAAGGTGATAACTAAATGAGCTAGCTAGCTGTTGCCTTTAGTTAGCTTGAAGTTACATATGTTATTTTTTTTATACATCACAGGCGAACTATTATTATTGATGGCACAGTCTCTACTCCACTTAACAATTTCATGCAAAACACATGCATGTACACGGTCCATTGATGCACACGCGTGCACCTCGGCATGATGAAGACGTGGCAACAGCTGACAGTTGGCTAACAACAAAGCTGACCGGCATTTTGCCAAGAGTTGTATTGACACAGCCCAGACACAGTCACTATTTATCTTTATACAATTTGAAAAAATACTCCTATACAAAATAATGAAAGTAATAATACAATGACAGTGTAACCCTAACTATATCATGTCAAAGCTGAAAGCTTATTATGAAAGTGCCACGTTCTGTGTGTACAAAGTGTCAAACGGTCACATTTATCCCTAGCTCTCCAGTAGTTTTCTTATTACCAGGCTTACATAGTCTTCCTAAGTTTCATTGGAATAAAGAATACCAACCTAGCCAGAGACCTGAGGAGTTACAGTGGAGAGGAGAGAGAGGGCGATGAGCCAATGGGATATCAATTATCCAATCAGTTAGGAGCTTTTGCCCCCAAGTTTTCTGACCTCTGCCCATTCCAACTTTGTCTAGTCTTGTGTAGAGACCATTAAACATGCTTCATACTAAGAACTCCAGCAATGTTGTCTAATAATGTGTGTCTTTTTTTGATGTTGCAGACCGAAGGCCGGGAAGATGATGGAAGAAAGTGGAATAGAGACCACCCCACCCGGCTCCCCGCTGCCTCCCCCTAGCATGGCAGCCGCAGTCAACTCCCCTCCCCTGACTATGGGTAAGTCACTCACTGATACAGTGGATGCGCTGCTTCCAACCTATGTTGGTAGCTCCACCAACGGCGCAAAATGTAGGCTATACGTCCAGCTTGGGTTCGGTAGACTACCAAAAACATGAAATTGCTACTACAAATCTGCTAGGTCTATATCCTAAGCCAAGGCACAAAATGCAGCCTAACATATTTAGCATTCAAAGTTCTCTTAAAACTGTTAAATCTTCTGGTTTGCATTTCATTCCATAAAGTTGTCCACTCCTTTTTGCCCTCATTCATTCTCCTTTACAGAGTAGCCTATTATCAAAAGCTCCACCTAGACTTCGCCATGTTGCTTTCACCTATACAATCCTTTCAGATCTCTGAAAGTAAGGAGGGCATACAATGAGAGCAGAGGGGAGGGAGTGTCATTCTGCAATGAAACACAGCCTCAGTTTCTAGCAGTGTGTATCTCAGTAGTCACAACATCATGCAAGAGACAGATCAACGGCTTGAGGTCATAGTTTGTCAGTTGTTGGAATGGGATGCAAAGCAGCAGAGGAACATCAGCATGAGATAGACTGTCTGTCCTTGAGGTTGTGTGGGACAAAGAGACAATGTCGGCTGTTAGGCAGAACTGTGCAAGTCAATTCTGATAATCACCTGCTCACTGTATAACTTTGCAGTGACACAGCAATACTTCTCACAGAAATAATTGGAGCCTTGGGCAAATTATTTTCTCTCTGAAGTTATAGTGCAATGGAAACACAGCCTGTCCATTGTATTTCTTACAATGGAAATGACATCCCGAAGATCCTCAGAATGTCGACGTAGGCTAGGCTATACAACGGCCATTCATTTCAGCCAATGCAGTAGTGCTTAGGGTATTATCGAGTCATTATGTTGGGTTTAAAGAAACAAAAGCTAGTGATAGCGAATTGTTTTACACTCGAAGATGTAGCTAAGATTTGATTTAGTAGGGTCTTCGCTCCTACTTTCAAATACATTGTAATTTGGGTGAATTATCCCTTTAAGCAGTCTCATACACACCATATTATTTGTTACTCAATGATATTCTCTTGTTCCCCCAGGCATGTCCAGTCCCCTGTCCCTCCCCAGAACCACCAGCATATCCACCTTCGCCCCCGAGGGCTTCTCCACCCCCGTCCCTCTCGCTGTTTCCACCTCCATCCCCCCTATCCACTCCTCCATGCCCCCTGCCTTCGGCAGCCCCATGCCCGCCCTGTCCTCACCCCACTTCCCCCCTCCGCCCATGGGGGGAGCCCCGTACACCACCAGCCCCATGGCCTTCTCCTCCCCCTCCACCTATCCCTCCCCGCCCCCGATGGGCTCTGTGGCCCCGCCTCCGACCGGTCCGGTGATGTCGGCGCCACCGATGGGCCCGCCCACCACGGGCTTTACCATGAGCGCGGGCTATGACATCACGCGGGGGCACGCCGGACGCACACCGCAGACGCCGCTCATGCCCAGTTTCTCCAGCGCCGCCCCGATGCCAGGTAAGGAGATGCCGCGACTGGCCGGAGCTAAAGTAGCCACGTGGTGTAGGCTATCTAGCCGATCTGAACTGATTGCAAAGGCCTAGGTATTATCAATAGCTTCTGGTCTGTTAGCTCATCCTATCTTGATGAAAAGTGCCTGAGATAGAGGCTAGGGGTTGACTTCAGTCTGGGTATATCATTCACAACACAAGAGGTCCCCACTGTCCAGTGGAAATTGAATGGAAGTCAATGTGTGTCCAACGTGTTCTTTTCCAGTGCCTTTAGTGCTAAACTGAACTGTCATTGCAATGTGTGGTGATGGGGAAAGTTGAACAATTTCAGGGAGATGTCTGAGTGATAACCTTAAGATATTCTCTGACTCGGTTCTCTTAGAATGCACATTCAAACATGGTCATCAGTCTGTAGCTTTTACTCTGTGTGTGTGTGTGAGAGTGATAGGGAAGGGGTCAGCGGGCTAAAGGGAAAGCTATTATCTGTGCTCAAGCAGAGAGGGAACTAAGCCCACCAATTTGAGTGGCTCAGTGGACTGCCAGGCTCCGGGTTGGCCCTCTCTAGGTCTTGTCACACAGACACACAGATGAGAAGAGAGACACACACACAAGCAAACTACTCCACTAGTCCCCCCGCTCCCCCATGGACATTTTATTTTATTCCCACCCCCTAACGGACAATTACCCTGCCCACACCCCAATGGACATTTTATATTTATCATTGTCACAGTTGTGAATATACACTGAACAAAAATATAAACGCAAAATGTAAAGTGTTGGTTTCATGAGCTGAAATAAGATCCCAGACATTTTCCATATGCACAAAAAGCATATTTCTCTCAAATTTTGTGCACAAATTTGTTTACATCCCTGTTAGTGAGCATTTCTCCCTTGCCAAGATAATCCATCCACCTGACTGCATATCAAGAAGTTGATTAAACAACATTTGCATCAATAAAAGGCCACTCTAAAATATGCAGTTTTGTCACGCAACACAATGCCACAGATGTATCAAGTTTTGAGGGAGCATGCAATTGGCATGCTGACTTTAGGAATGTCTACCAGAGCTGTTGCCAGATAATTTAATGTTAATTTCTCTACCATAAGCCGCCTCCAACGTCGTTTTAGAGAATTTGTCAGTACGTCCAACTGGCCTCACAACCACGTCGTGTTGGCGAGCAGTTTGCTGATGTCAACGTTGTGAACAGAGTGCCCCATGGTGGCAGTGGGGTTATGGCACAGCCATTGAAGAGGAGTGGGACAACATTCCACAGGCCACAATCAACAGCCTGATCAACTCTATGCGAAGGTGATGTGTCGCGCTGCATGAGGCAAATGGTGGGCATACCAGATACTGACTGGTTTTCAGATGCATATCTGTATTCCCAGTCGTGAAATTCATAGATTAGGCCTAATGAATTTATTTCAGTTGACTGATTTCCTTATATGGACTGTAACTCAGTAAAATCATTGAAATTGTTGCATTTTGTTTTATTTTAATTTTATATATGATTGTTATTAGTTTTTTTTGTTTCATTCACCTGCACTGTTGGAGCTCGGATCTGAAGTATTTCACTGTATACTACAATGACTTGTGACTAAATATCAATCTAAGCACTTTGACAGAGTAACATACTACCTCACAAACATACACTGAAACGGGCGAATGCACACACACACACACAACGTTGACACAATGGTTTGAATGTTTGTTTCAGCCAAGGTGTGTTTCTTTTGAGGTGGGTGTGGTTTATGTATCACTTTCTGCTGTTGACTTTGCATTGTATGGATAAATGTGTTTACTTAGCGTCTATTCTCTTGATACATTATTTTGTTACTGTGCAAGTCCACCTGTTTTCGGTGGTCATTCTGTATGCCTATTGCATACAGCGGGGGTATTTAAATCCAGGTCTTATTTTCTCTGACTGATTCATGTCCTTATTTGGGAAGACCTTGGTGTCCAAGCTCTTTAAAAAAAAAAAAAAAAACGTATGTTAAAAAAAATATTTTTTACTTTTTTTCTAGGGGGTAGATCAGCTTTAATATTGCAGATAGATTGTAACTTCCATCAATGTAATTGTATGCATCACTTCCAATCCCCCATATGTTTTTTTCCCCTGCAAAAAATCTATGTATATGTGTGTGTGTATTTATATGTGTGTATGTATATACAGTGAGGGGAAAAAAGTATTTGATCCCCTGCTGATTTTGTACGTTTGCCCACTGACAAAGAAATGATCAGTCTATAATTTTAATGGTAGGTTTATTTGAACAGTGAGAGACAGAATAACAACAACAAAAATCCAGAAATACGCATGTCAAAAATGTTATAAATTGATTTGCATTTTAATGAGGGAAATAAGTATTTGACCCCTCTGCTAAACATGACTTAGTACTTGGTGGCAAAACCCTTGTTGGCAATCACAGAGGTCAGACGTTTCTTGTAGTTGGCCACCAGGTTTGCACACATCTCAGGAGGGATTTTGTCCCACTCCTCTTTGCAGATCTTCTCCAAGTCATTAAGGTTTCGAGGCTGACGTTTGGGAACTCGAACCTTCAGCTCCCTCCACAGATTTCCTATGGGATTAAGGTCTGGAGACTGGCTAGGCCACTCCAGGACCTTAATGTGCTACTTCTTGAGCCACTCCTTTGTTGCCTTGGCCGTGTGTTTTGGGGTCATTGTCATGCTGGAATACCCATCCACGACCCATTTGCAATGCCCTGGCTGAGGGAAGGAGGTTCTCACCCAAGATTTGACGGTACATGGCCCCGTCCATCGTCCCTTTGATGCGGTGAAGTTGTCCTGTCCCCTTAGCAGTAAAACACCCCCAAAGCATAATCTTTCCACCTCCATGTTTGACAGTGGGGATGGTGTTCTTGGGGTCATAGGCAGCATTCCTCCTCCTCCAAACACGGCGAGTTGAGTTGATGCCAAAGAGCTCCATTTTGGTCTCATCTGACCACAACACTTTCACCCAGTTCTCCTCTGAATCATTCAGATGTTCATTGGCAAACTTCAGACGGGCATGTATATGTGCTTTCTTGAGCAGGGGGACCTTGCGGGCGCTGCAGGATTTCAGTCCTTCACGGCGTAGTGTGTTACCAATTGTTTTCTTGGTGACTATGGTCCCAGCTGCCTTGAGATCATTGACAAGATCCTCCCGTGTAGTTCTGGGCTGATTCCTCACCGTTCTCATGATCATTGCAACTCCACAAGGTGAGATCTGGCATGGATCTACAATCTTGTCCTTGACATCCTTGGAGAGCTCTTTGGTCTTGGCCATGGTGGAGAGTTTGGAATCTGATTGATTGATTGCTTCTGTGGACAGGTGTCTTTTATACAGGTGACAAACTGAGATTAGGAGCACTCCCTTTAAGAGTGTGCTCCTAATCTCAGCTCGTTACCTGTATAAAGACACCTGGGAGCCAGAAATCTTTCTGATTGATAGGGGGTCAAATACTTATTTCCCTAATTTAAAATGCAAATCAATTTATAACATTTTTGAAATGCGTTTCTCTGGATTTTTTTTGTTGTTATTCTGTCTCTCACTGTTCAAATAAACCTACCATTTAAAGAAATGATCAGTCTATAATTTTGTCAGTGGGCAAACATACAAAATCAGCAGGGGATCAAATACTTTTTTCCCTCACTGTGTGTATGTATGTATGTATGTGTGTGTGTGTGTGTGTGTGTGTGTGTGTGTGTGTGTGTGTGTGTGTGTGTGTGTGTGTGTGTACACGCACACTAACACACTACCGTTCAAAAGTTTGGGGTCACTTAGAAATGTCCTTGTTTTTGAAAGAAAAGCCATATCTCAGACTGCCCATCTTAATCTTTTCTTTTTATTGGCCAGTCTGAGATATGGCTTTTTCTTTGCAACTCTGCCTAGAAGGTCAACATCCCAGAGTCGCCTCTTCACTGTTGACGTTGAGACTGGTGTTTTGCGGGTACTATTTCATGAAGCTGCCAGTTGAGGACCTGTGAGGTGCCTGTTTCTCAAACTAGACACTAATGTATTTGTCCTCTTGCTCAGTTGTGCACCGGGGCCACCTACTCTTTCTATTCTGGTTAGAGCCAGTTTGCGCTGTTCTGTGAAGGGAGTAGTACACAGCGTTGTAGAGATCTTCAGTTTCTTGGCAATTTCTCGCATGGAATAGCCTTCATTTCTCAGAACAAGAATAGACAAACGAGTTTCAGAAGAAAGTTATTTGTTTCTGGCCATTTTGAGCCTGTAATCGAACCCACAATTGCTGATGCTCCAGATACTCAACTAGTCTCAAGAAGGCCAGTTTTATTGCTTCTTTTAATCAGCACAACAGTTTTCAGCTGTGCTAACATAATTGCAAAAGGGTTTTCTAATTATCAATTAGCCTTTTAAAACGATAAACTTGGATTAGCAAACACAACGTGCCATTGGAACACAGGACTGATGGTTGCTGATAATGGGCCTCTACGCCTATGTACATATTCCATAACAAATCAGCCATTTCCAGCTACAATTTACAACATTAACAATGTCTACACTGTATTTCTGATCAATGTGTTATTTTAATGGACAAAATTGCTTTTCTTTTGAAAACAAGGACATTTCTAAGTGACCCCAAACTTTTGAACGGTTGTGTGTGTGTGTGTGTGTGTGTGTGTGTGTGTATATACAGTGGGGAGAACAAGTATTTGATACACTGCCGATTTTGCAGGTTTTACTACTTACAAAGCATGTAGAGGTCTGTAATTTTTTATCATATGTACACTTCAATTGTGAGAGACGGAATCTAAAACAAAAATCCAGAAAATCACATTATGATTTTTAAGTAATTAATTTGAATTTTATTGCATGACATAAGTATTTGATACATCAGAAAAGCAGAACTTAATATTTGGTACAGAAACCTTTGTTTGCAATTACAGAGATCATACGTTTCCTGTAGGTCTTGACCAGGTTTGCACACACTGCAGCAGGAATTTTGGCCCACTCCTCCATACAGACCTTCTCCAGATCCTTCAGGTTTCGGGGCTGTCGCTGGGCAATACGGACTTTCAGCTCCCTCCAAAGATTTTCTATTGGGTTCAGGTCTGGAGACTGGCTAGGCCACTCCAGGACCTTGAGATGCTTCTTACGGAGCCACTCCTTAGTTGCCCTGGCTGTGTGTTTCGGGTCGTTGTCATGCTGGAAGACCCAGCCACGACCAATCTTCAATGCTCTTACTGAGGGAAGGAGGTTGTTGGCCAAGATCTCGCGATACATGGCCCCATCCATCCTCCCCTCAATACGGTGCAGTCGTCCTGTCCCCTTTGCAGAAAAGCATCCCCAAAGAATGATGTTTCCACCTCCATGCTTCACGGTTGGGATGGTGTTCTTGGGGTTGTACTCATCCTTCTTCTTCCTCCAAACACGGCGAGTGGAGTTTAGACCAAAAAGCTCTATTTTTGTCTCATCAGACCACATGACCTTCTCCCATTCCTCCTCTGGATCATCCAGATGGTCATTGGCAAACTTCAGACGGGCCTGGACATGCGCTGGCTTGAGCAGGGGGACCTTGCGTGCGCTGCAGGATTTTAATCCATGACGGCGTAGTGTGTTACTAATGGTTTTCTTTGAGACTGTGGTCCCAGCTCTCTTCAGGTCATTGACCAGGTCCTGCCGTGTAGTTCTGGGCTGATCCCTCACCTTCCTCATGATCATTGATGCCCCACGAGGTGAGATCTTGCATGGAGCCCCAGACCGAGGGTGATTGACCGTCATCTTGAACTTCTTCCATTTTCTAATAATTGCGCCAACAGTTGTTGCCTTCTCACCAAGCTGCTTGCCTATTGTCCTGTAGCCCATCCCAGCCTTGTGCAGGTCTACAATTTTGTCCCTGATGTCCTTACACAGCTCTCTGGTCTTGGCCATTGTGGAGAGGTTGGAGTCTGTTTGATTGAGTGTGTGGACAGGTGTCTTTTATACAGGTAACGAGTTCAAACAGGTGCAGTTAATACAGGTAACGAGTTCAAACCGGTGCAGTTAATACAGGTAATGAGTGGAGAACAGGAGGGCTTCTTAAAGAAAAACGTACAGGTCTGTGAGAGCCGGAATTCTTACTGGTTGGTAGGTGATCAAATACTTATGTCATGCAATAAAATGCAAATTAATTACTTAAAAATCATACAATGTGATTTTCTAGATTTTTGTTTTAGATTCCGTCTCTCACAGTTGAAGTGTACCTATGATAAAAATTACAGACCTCTACATGCTTTGTAAGTAGGAAAACCTGCAAAATCGGCAATGTATCAAATACTTGTTCTCCCCACTATATATATATATACACACACACACACAGTGGAGAAATAAAGTATTTAGTCAGCCACCAATTGTGCAAGTTCTCCCACTTAAAAAGATGAGAGGCCTGTAATTTTCATCATAGGTACACGTCAACTATGACAGACAAAATGAGGAAAACATTTCCAGAAAATCACATTGTAGGACTTTCAACTCCCTCCAAAGATTTTCTATGGGGTTGAGATCTGGAGACTGGCTAGGCCACTCCAGGACCTTGAAAGGCTTCTTACGAAGCCACTCCTTCGTTGCCCGGGCGGTGTGTTTGGGATCATTGTCATGCTGAAAGACCCAGCCACGTTTCATCTTCAATGCCCTTGCTGATGGAAGGAGGTTTTCACTCAAAATCTCACGATACATGGCCCCATTCATTCTTTCCTTTACACGGATCAGTCGTCCTGGTCCCTTTGCAGAAAAACAGCCCCAAAGCATGATGTTTCCACCCCCATGCTTCACAGTAGGTATGGTGTTCTTTGGATGCAACTCAGCATTCTTTGTCCTCCAAACACGACGAGTTGAGTTTTTACCAAAAAGTTATATTTTGGTTTCATCTGACCATATGACATTCTCCCAATCCTCTTCTGGATCATCCAAATGCACTCTAGCAAACTTCCGACGGGCCTGGACATGTACTGGCTTAAGCAGGGGGACACGTCTGGCACTGCAGGATTTGAGTCCCTGGCGGCGTAGTGTGTTACTGATGGTAGGCTTTGTTACTTTGGTCCCAGCTCTCTGCAGGTCATTCACTAGGTCCCCCCGTGTGGTTCTGGGATTTTTGCTCACCGTTCTTGTGATAATTTTGACCCCACGGGGTGAGATCTTGCGTGGAGCCCCAGATCGAGGGAGATTATCAGTGGTCTTGTATGTCTTCCATTTCCTAATAATTGCTCCCACAGTTGATTTCTTCAAACCAAGCTGCTTACCTATTGCAGATTCAGTCTTCCCAGCCTGGTGCAGGTCTACAATTTTGTTTCTGGTGTCCTTTGACAGCTCTTTGGTCTTGGCCATAGTGGAGTTTGGAGTGTGACTGTTTGAGGTTGTGGACAGGTGTCTTTTATACTGATAACAAGTTCAAACAGGTGCCATTAATACAGGTAACGAGTGGAGGACAGAGGAGCCTCTTAAAGAAGAAGTTACAGATCTGTGAGAGCCAGAAATCTTGCTTGTTTGTAGGTGACCAAATACTTATTTTCCACCATAATTTGCAAATAAATTCATTAAAAATCCTACAATGTGATTTTCTGGAGAGAAAAAAATCTCAATTTGTCTGTCATAGTTGACGTGTACCTATGATGAAAATTACAGGCCTCTCTCATCTTTTTAAGTGGGAGAACTTGCACAATTAGTGGCTGACTAAATACTTTTTTCCCCCACTGTGTGTGTGTGTGTATATGTATATATGTGTGTGTGTATATATATATATATATATATATATATATATATATATATATATATATATATATCAGGCCCTGATTTGAATACCACCAGTTTGTGTTCATAAGGCACCAATCATAAGAAAACGGACTGCAACAGGGAGGGACTATCTGAATGTGTCAATAAGAAACGCACATTTTCGTTTTCTGTCGAATAAACATTTTCCTTTTGATGCCTAATGAACACAACCCTGGTATACAGTGTATTATGATGAGTGGTAACGGAATTAATGATGTCTCTCTTCCAGGGGTAGTATCCAACCCAATGGTGCAGCAGCCCATGATGTCAGGGGGTCTAGACGCCGGCTCCCCCATCACCTTCCCCGAGGTCGAAAACGAGGACCCCCGAGTTGCCATTGATGCCAACGCGGGGGGCGGCATTTGGGGTTTCTTCAAGGTACGTCTTTTTCAGTAATTTCGGTAGGGCAGTGGATGTTTTTACGCACCTGACACACAAAGTAATGTGAACACACACAGTAGTGGACATCAGCGTCGTGTTCATTAGGAGAAAGTTTTAAAATGTTGTACGACGGAAATAGACGTTTCTATTTCACAAGTCCAGGTAGTCCCTCCCTGTTTGACAGTTTTCTTTGGTTTCATGCCCAATGAACACGACCCAGGCAACACAGCAGGGCTGCCTCTTTTAAAGCAGCAAACGCTCTTTAAACTCAACAAGACCAATGCTGCGTTTACGAGGTAGACGGCAGGCGGCAAACCGGATGTCATTGTTTTCAATGAGAGCACGACGTTAATTGCCGTTGAGGCTGGAGGTGAATGCCATCAGAAGCCACAGTAGACGGGACTTGCCGCCAGAGTTCAAATATTTCAACTTTTGCCGTCTGCCGTTGTTCTTCCTGATGTTGATTTGCACTGTTTGTTTACTGAAATCACCATAGCAACAAATACTGTCATGCTGGCTTGCTTTTGCCGTTAGTCTTTCTTGCTTTTTATTGGGTCCTTCGTCAAAACGCAGCATAAGTCAATATTGCAAAGACAGGCGGTGTCAGAGGAAGGCCCTAAAAACTGTCAAGAAAGCCACCCAGGTCATAGACTGTACTCTACTACCGCACGGCAAGCGGTACTGGAGCGCAGAGTATGGGGCCAAAAGCTGAACATTTTATTTATTTTTTATTAACCCATCCACCACAACCCCTCTCCGGAGCACACAAATATATTGTTTTGTTTTTACAGCTTTTTTCACGGTAAAGTCTACAGCTGTTGTATTTGGCGCATGTGACATAAGATATGATTTGGCTTGATACAGATGAGCTCTTAGCTCTTCTTCCTGCAGAATAGCGCAGCGTGTTTCAACCTGATGTATCAGGCCTTCAGAACAGTATCATGTCTTTGCACTGAGTTTCATAAACACCTTTCCTGCTTATTAAACAGTTCCTTGTCTCTTTCTTCAGTCACAAAAGAGAACAAACACGTTAACTTTTCCAGCCCGTTTCCCAGACACTGATGAAGCCTACACACAAAAAAATAATGCTTTCTCGAATTGGAAGTGTTTTCAATCACGTACTAGGTATAATCTGTGTCCGGAGAAACCGGCCCCTTGACATTTTAACTAAATCTCTTCGTCTACTTTATAAAACACTCACGGTCCAAATGTAATTTAGGCTGCTTTTACACAGGCAGCCCAATTCTGATCTTTTTTTCACCAGTTGGTCTTTTCCCTAATCAGATCTGCTATTTTGACAATAATTGGGCAAAAGATCAGAAGTGGGCTGCCTGTGTAAACGCAGCCATTATGGCTCAAACGCGTCATACACCCTCTTCAGTCAATGTACTGCCAGAACCCAATCGCCAGTCGCTCAATACGTCATACACAACAGCCTGTATTGGGGAAACACTTTCCTGGACTACATCCATAAATTGGGTGCTAATGCTATCAGTGTTGCGTCCAGATGACTGGGCTAATACGTCTGGTGCTAATGTCTAGGGCTGAGGCCCAAAGGGTACTTTATTTCTAAAGAAGTGCATTATAAAGGGAATTGGGTTTCAGCTCTTCTTCCTCCTATTCGTCTGGCTGGCAGGGAGGACTGTGGTATGCCTCAGACAGTTAGCTGTGCTGCTCCTCACGACAGTCTCCCTAACGGTATCCATCCAGTTTATACTGGGAATAAGGCCTAACGGTATCCATCCAGCAGGGTTTCTGTTAGGAAAATGTGGCGCCGTACATTTGACCGGCAACATTTTAATTTACCAGACATTTGAGAATCTGAAAGACCCAGGGTGTGAAACCTGATTAGGGCGTCCACCCACGGTGCTCAGAATGACAGAAATCACATTTAGATTATGGTCATTCATATTAACAAAACATGCAAGTCGAGGATACTACGATGTGCGGTCCTTCTTAACGAATTCTGATGTGCACTTTGAAGACATTAGAATAACTGTCCACATTCACTTTTCCTCAGCTGACAAGACGAGTAACGAACCGCAAAATCACTGGCCTATGTCAATCTACTATCCCCCATAGTAGAAAAGTTGACCTATTCTATTGGTCAGCTTATCGAGAAAGAAATAGCCTATTCCAAACAGACTCTGGGACAGTTGTGGGACGATAGATCCCAAATCCATCCAACCAGTGGCCTCGGCTCCATTTTTATTTTTTTTAAAGCATTGAGTCTGATGCAACAGATCAGAATGTTTAGTTTAAAATGTTGATAAACTATTTCCTCACATTATAAGCGCAGCAATGTGCACAAGGCAGTAGACTAGGCGTTAATGTTCATTCTATAATGTAATTAGAGGGAAAACACTTGTCAAAAGGGCACTGCACATGCCAGCGGTTTCATGTGACAGAGATGAAAATATCTGTTAGACATTTAGAAAGATCTTAACAGGATACTTTGAAACAAGGTTAGACATGCCTCATACAGTGCATTCAGAAAGTTTTCAGACCCCTTTTTCCACCATTTTTTATTTTGAATAAATGTGCAAAAAAATCTAAACCTGTTTTCACTTTGTCATTATGGGGTATTGTGTGTAGATTGATGAGAAATGTTTTATTTAATCCCTTTTCGAAAAAGGCTGTAACTTAACAAATTGTGGAAAAAGTGAAGGTCTGAATACTTTTTGAATGCACTGTACTGTACACGCGGCAATTTTAATTCCACAAAATTATGCAAATGAACCTATAGACCGATAAGCATGACCAGTCAAATGTATTTACATCGACTGGTATTTCCATCCATGAGTAATCAATAGGCTAAAAAGCATTATTTCGCAATGGGATTTTTTTCTTCTTCTGCAAGATAATTGGCCAGTGCCAATTTTATCTGCTTTTCTATTTTTTTATAGGCCAAAATCCGGCTATTACCGGCTAACGGAAACCCTGCCATCCAGTCTTGTTTGGGAGTACATGCACATTGCGCACTGGCAGGTAGTCAGGCAGGCACAAACGCTCACAAGCTGTTGGTTCAGCAATTGGACGTGTTCAGGGTTCCCTCGACTTTGTTTTGTCCTGAAACCACCCCTGGTGTACGGACTCGTGAGAGAGTTAGTGATGGTGTGTTCTTATACAGTTACATTAGATTTATTTTGAAACATCTGAGATACAGATCTCTTGACCAATACTTTTTTTGTATAAAACCAAGTGAAAAAGGAACTTTGAAACAGTCGCTCAGCCTAACATAATTTCTTTCAAACATTGTACCACCTGTAGAAGTAATGAGCTATGACACTAATTAGCTTGGATCATTCGCGCATTCATTGTCACACTAATTAACATAACGTCTTATTTCAACAAATCAGTTAAGGAGATCAAATGGCAACCAGCCTTAGAACATGTTTTAAGTGTGTGTGTGTGTGGCTGTATGTCTGTGTCATTCTCAGGGCGTGGCAGGTAACCACATGGTAAAGACGGTCCTGGATAAGACCAAGCACTCAGTGGAATCCATGATCACCACTCTGGACCCAGGCATGGCTCCATACATCAGTAAGTCAACACCATCACTTCCTATTTATCATGGATTTAACAATGGTGAAGCTAGGGTTGGGGTTAATCAATTCAGGAACTGAAATTCAAATGTTATAATTGGAAAAAAAAAGGCTTTTTATTTTTGGTGACTTCTCAACAAACGGAAAAGGAGAAGCAATTGATTTCTTTTTTTATCACTTCCTAAATTGAGACTTACATTTTAATTGAGCCCAACCCAGTTAAACTCACTCTAGCTAGCCAATGCTTACATCAATCCCTCGCTTTGAAATCCATTACAGGAAGTGTGCAAGTGCACACTTTGGGGAGAAGGGTGGAGAATTGGGACGAAGCCAATAGCCGCTTAGCCATTATCGCCCTATATCTGTGCAAGCCAATGGTTGCGTCCCAAATCACACCCTATTTCTATGGGCCCTGGTCAAAAGTAGTGCACTATATAGGGAATAGGGTGCCATTTGGGAAATAACCAATGTGTGCTGGTGCCAGAAAAGCTCAACATGCGATTACCTCCTCTAAATAAGAACTTGCCACTGACTTAAGTCTGAACATTCCTTGCGGGACATACAGGATAATATCGCTTGTTGAGACTCTCGATTTTCAAACTCGTCTTGGGCTAGCATGCATTCTCCTTCATGGATACAGTGAATCAATAATGGGTAAGCGACTATTGTTTAATCAGTATTGTTTGACTATTTTAAACTAAATGTGTTCCTTTGACCTTGTACTACATTAAATTAAAAACCCACTGGGTGTGCAGGCTTTTCTTCCTGCCCAGCATTAACACACCTGATTCACCCCATCAAAGGCTTGATGAGTAGGTTGTCACCAGTGGTGTAGTGCTATATTTTTTTTTTTAGATGAGCAAAACAAATAATTAAATGTCATTGTTTTTCAGTCAGGTTGTACACACAAATAGCCTATTGAATATTATTATAGATAAAATCATCCTCCAATTGCAACGTCTGCCTATGCCACACACCTTGTCTCAAGAAAATGTTATATTTTTAAGACCCTCAAACACCAAGTTAGGCATATGCTACCTCATTTCAAAATAGGCCATTTATCACGGTCAATCGAGAATTATAATTCTTCACGTTTTTCCGGTGAAATGTCCAAACTGCATGCAAACTATTAGCCTTTCGTCTAACCCTTTTCTGTTTAAATCAAAGCATAGCACGCTGTTGCGTTTTGGAAACAAATGTTACTATTCAGCTTCAGATAAGAAATTACTGAGGTGATGTTTTTGGTTTAACATATTATAGGCCTATATGCTGTTATATTCAGGTCTTATGTAAAATGCTAATTAGTCAAACGCCTATGTGATCTTGCTAGATATTGATTCAGCTTTGATCTAACTTTACTAAACGAGCACCATTGTGAGAAGTGATGATCTTCTACTTGTAATAGTAAGTGATGAGAAGGACTATTAGGCGTTGGCAACAGATCTTGATGAGGGTTATTTTAAGCGATTTTGAGCGCCCTTCTAATCGTGGTGCTGTAAGGACAGCACCGTAACCAAGTGGTCACATCGTTCTGGGTTCCACTGTGCAAGAGGTGGTCCGTAGAGTTTTATGAACATCAAGGCAGCCGCGGGGAATTTGGATCCTAGATCTCGTTGGTGTAATAAGGTTCATGTGGTGGATCAGTTTGTCTGCATACGCAATAGAGGTGGTATGTTTCTGTAAGCTAAGCACTCGGACAGTAGGGCGACTTCAAGTGCGTTGTACAAGAGCTCCAAGTCCGTAACAAACTGTTTTGAGGACAGACGGTTGAGCAACCCCTGGTAGTTTTCTGTCTGTGGCTGTTCTGGTTACGTCGGATTTGGCCCGGTCAAAGTGGTCAAGCCTCCGACCGACGGGCCTGTTCATACGCCTACACTGAGTCTCCAGGATCAGAATTGGATGAGCACTGCCTTTTTTTAAATGTACAATCTCTCTTTTTCTATTGAGGTGTCCTGGCGAACAGGCAGCAGTACGATGATCCGGTCAAGTCAACCTTGAGACACAAAAGGGCATAAGTTAAGGATATAGGCTACACACATTGGCATCAGTGAATTGCATTTTCAGCAGTTGAATGCAAAGGAATAGAGTTCTCAGTGGAATGACTGTCAATCTGATGGCAACATCTCTGGACTATCAGTGGTTTTAGATGGGAGTGGGCACATAATTAAATATACACTCACCCAGTTTATTAGGTACACCCATCTAGCCTCCAGAACAGCCTGCATTCTTCGGGGCATGGATTTTACAAGGTGTGGCGTTCAAACGTTGCTCAATTGGTATCAAGGGACCTAACGTGCCAGAAAAACATTCCCCACACCATTACACCACCGCCACCAGCCTAGCCTGTACCGTTGATACCAGGCAGGATGGGGCCAAGGACTCATGCTGCTTACGCCAATTCCTGACTCTGCTGTCAGCATGACGCAACAGGAACTGGGATTTTTCAGACCAGGCAACGTTTTTCCACTCCTCAATTGTCCAGTGTTGATGATCACGTGCCCACTGAAGCCTCTTCTTGTTTTTAGCTGATAGGAGTGGAATCTGGTGTGCTTGTCTGCTGCAATAGCCCATCTGTGAGAAGGACAGACGAGTTGTGCGTTCCTAGATGGCGTTCTGCCCACCACTGTTGTACTGCGCTATTATTTGCCTGTTTGTGGCCCGCCTGTTAGCTTGCACAATTCTTGCCATTCTCCTTTAACCTTTCTCATCAACGAGCCGCTGACTGGATGTTTTTTGTTTGTCGCACCATTCTTGGTAAACCCTAGACACTGTCGTGCGTGAAATGCCCAGGAGGCTGGCCGTTTCTGAGATACCGGAACTGGCGTGCCTAGCACTGACGATCATACCACACTCAGTCACTTAGGGAACTTGTTTTGCCCATTCTAATGTTCAATCTAACAGTAACTGAATGTCTCGATGCCTGTCTTTATATAGAAAGCCACGGCCACGACTCACTGTCTGTAGGAGCGAACCATTTTCGTGAACTGGGTGGTGTATCTAATAAACTGGTCACTGAGTGTATATATGTATCTCTATGGGAGTCAGGGCTATAGGCCTAATAGAATAAATAATTAATTAGAATGAATAAAAGAGGATTGATGTAGAGAAGTGAGTGTGTTTAATGGAGGCAGGACCCGGGCAGGAACTTGTGGTACGGGTTAGGGGGAAGGTGTTGTGGGAGATGATTGGTTGGTAGATTAAGTTGATTAAACCTATGCGTTGGGAGTTTATCCCGGTCTTTCTGTATTGGCTAACAAAGACCAAGTTTGACGCATTTGGGCGGAAGTGTCTGGGAATGAGATTAATCCTGTATTGACTGTGTCTGTCTGTTTTAGAGTCGGGCGGGGACTTGGACATCGTGGTGACGTCAGACAAAGAGGTGAAGGTGGGGGCGGTGAGAGATGCCTTCCAGGAGGTGTTTGGCATGGCCATGGTGACCGGGGAGGCCGGCCAGTCCAACATCGCCCCGCAGCCCGTTGGCTACGCAGCCGGAGTCAAGGTCAGCTGTCTATCACGTTCCCAATATCTCAGACACTGGTGTGTATTTATGTATTAGTGCTAATGAAGACGTATAATGCCTTTTTAGTTAGTTTGTTTAAAGTGTGATCTGGGTATGTATTGCAGTTCTGTATACATAATGTACAGTGCATTTGGAAAGTAATTCAGAGCCCTTACATTTTTCCACATTTTGTTACGTTACATCCTTATTCTAAAATTGATCACATTATTTCTTTATCAATTTACACAAAATACCCCATAATGACAAAGCGAAAATAGGTTTTTAGACATTTTTGCTCATTTATAAAAAAAAATAAACAGATAAATGAAATCAAATTGTATTTGTCACATACACGTGTTTAGCAGATGTTATAGCGGGTGTAGCAAAATGCTTGTGCTTCTAGCTCCGACAGTGCAGTAATATCTAACAATTTCACAACATATACACACAAAACTATTAAGGAATGGAATTTAAGAATATATACATATATGGACAAGCAATGACAGAGCGGCATGGACTAAGATACAGTAGAATATTATAGAATAGAATACAGTATATACATATGAGATGAGTAGTGCAATATATGTAAACATTATTAAAGTGACTAGTGTTCCATTTCTTAAAGTGGCCAGTGATTTCAATAGGCAGCAGCAGCCTCTAATGTGCTAGTGATGGCTGTTTAACAGTCTGATGGCCTCGAGATAGAAGCTGTTTTTCATTCTCACGGTCCTAGCTTTGATGCATCTGTACTGACCTCGCCTTCTGGATGATAGCGGGGTGAACAGGCAGTGGCTCGGGTGGTTGATGTCCTTGATTATCTTTTTGGCCTTCCTGTGACATCGGGTGCTGTAGATGTCTTGGCGAGCGGGTAGTTTGCCCCCGGTAATGCGTTCGGCAGACCGCACCACCCTCTGGAGAGCCCTGCGGTTGAGGGCGGTGCAGTTGCCGTACCAGGTGGTGATACAGCCCGAAAGGATGCTCTCATACTTTATTTACGTAAGTATTCAGACCCTTTGCTATGAGACTCGAAATTGAGCTCCGGTGCATCCTGTTTCCATTGATCGTCCTTGATGTTTCTACAACTTGATTGGAGTCCACCTTTTGGTAAATTCTATTGATTGGACATGAGTTGGAAAGGCACACACCTGTCTATATAAGCTCCCACAGTTCATGTCAGAGCAAAAAACAAGCCATGAGGTCGAAGGAATTGTCCGTAGAGCTCCGAGACAGGATTGTGTCGAGGCACAGATCTGGGGAAGGGTACCAAAACTTTTCTGCAGCATTGAAGGTCCCCAAGAACACAGTGGCCTCCATCATTCTTAAATGGAATAAGTTTGGAACCACCAAGACTCTTTCTAAAACCGGCCGCCCGGCCAAACTGAGCAATCGGGGAAGAAGGGCCTTGGTCAGGGAGATGACCAAGAACCCGATGGTCACTCTGACAGAGCTCCAGAGTTCCTCTGTGGAGATGGGAGAACCTTCCAGAAGGACAACCATCTCTGCAGCACTCCACCAATCAGGCCTTTATGGTAGTGGCCAGACGGAAGCCACTCCTCAGTAAAAGGCACATGACAGCCCGCTTGGAGTTTGCCAAAAGGCACCTAAAAGACTCTGACCATGAGAAACAAGATTCTCTGGTCTGATGAAACAAAGATTGAACTCTTTGGCCTGAATGCCAAGCGTCATGTCTGGAGGAAACCTGGCACCATCCCTACAGTGAAGCATGGTGGTGGCGATGTTTTTCAGCGGCAGGCACTGGGAGACTAGTCAGGATCGAGGGAAAGATGAATGGAGCAAAGTACAGAGAGATCCTTGATGAAAACCTGCTCCAGAGCGCTCAGGGCCTCAGACTGGGGCAAAGGTTCACGTTCCAACGGGATGACAACAACCCTAAGCACACAGCCAAGACAATGCAGGATTGGCTTCGGGACAAGTCTGTGAATGTCCATGAGTGGCCCAGCCAGAACCCTGTCTTGAACCCGATCGAACATCTCTGGAGAGACCTGAAAATAGCTGGGCAGCGATGCTCCCCATCCAACCTGGCAGAGCTTGAGGGGATCTGCAGAGAAGAATGGGAGAAACTCTCCAAATACAGGTGTCCCAAGCTTGTAGCGTCATACCCAAGAAGACTCAAGGCTGTAATCTCTGCCAAAGGTGCTTCAACAAAGTACTGAGTAAAGGGTCTGAACACTTATGTAAATGTAATATTTCAGTTTTAAGTTGGATAAATTAGTAAAAATTTCTAAACCTGTTTTCGCTTTGTCATTATGGGGTGTTGTGTGTAGATTGATGAGGGGAAAAAACAATTTAATCAATTTTAGAATAAGGCTGTAACGTAACAAAATGTGGAAAAAGTTAAGGGGTCTGAATACTTTCCGAATGCACTATAGAATTGTGAGTATCCCAATACATATCATATCGTAATGATGTCGTATTGTGAGGTCCCTGGCAATTCCCAACCCTAGTGTGTGTGTGTGTGTGTGTGTGTGTGTGTGTGTGTATACCTGTTTGTTAAAACAGTCATTGGTCTTAAAGGCTAGCTTCACACACCTGTTCTCTATGGAAGCAGATGGTGTTTTTGTCCAATTCTATTTAGGCAGCAATGCAGCATCCTCTCAGTGAAGGAAACTCCTTAAGAATTAAGACAGACACAGAGGGTACTCTGATTTACCTACAGCTGCCATGTAAAACACCACAGACCCAGACTGACAAATGCTGTTCTACTGCAGCAACAAGCTTTGTTTTGAAAATTCTTCTACATGCGGTATACGCTCTGATCAGTGTTAAGTCATCCAGAGAAGTGTTTTGTGTGTATGCGTGTGTTCAAGAGATTGTGTGCGTGTGTTTCCTCTTGATTCTCGATGTCTCACCACAGGAGAGATGTTAGGCAACAGGCTGGATGGTGGCAGGCGACGTGTGTTGTCTGCCTTGCTCATATTCAGCGATGGATGTCTTCCACTTGTTGACGCAAAATTGTTTTGTTACAGCCTAATGCTGTGTAAATGCTTGAGTTGAGTAGTGCTATTCACTGGTAATTTTCCACATCTGTCCAGTAACCTCTTTACATACCACACAGAGGAGTAGTTTATTACTGGCTCATTATCTATAGGGCACTAAAAGCCAGGTGGAAATCTAGTTTCCTCTGGTTTTAAACATCACCTTTAGACATACAGGCTGTGAGAACTGGTTAGAACCTGTTCTCACTTGTATTCTTTTTCTAAGGAAGTGGAGCCAATTACCCCTCTAGTAATTACCCCTCTATAGTAATTACCCCTCTATATCTCTATAGTAGGCTTGCCTCCCCCTTGGAGGGGTTTTTACAATCTTTGAGATCCTCTCTGGTTATATCCTGAGAATTCCTTTCCAGTGAGTCTTGAAAGTTACTCTCCAGGTTCTTCCTGAGGGAGTGATCTTCCTTGCAGTTGCTCTAATAAACCTCTTATTATCGATAAATGAGTTCTGCCTGATTCCTCAAACTGATGTGTCTGTCTCCACAGGGGGCCCAGGAGCGCATCGACAGCCTGCGGCGGGCGGGCGTCATCCACGAGAAGCAGCCCGTGGTCTCTGTGGAGAACTTCATCGCCGAGCTGTTCCCTGACAAGTAAGCACAGTGGGAGAAAATACCCCTTAAATCTCAAATCCCCTAAAGACACACATTTCACACACATTCATTTCATACACTCACTTTCATACACCCTCATTCACACAAACATTCACGATCATCCATGCACGCACACCCTCTCGCACTCCCTCATTTCACTGCACACACTCACAGCATTCCACACACATTCCCAGCTGACTCCAATGTAAGGATGTGTTCAAATGACCAAGTTAGATTTTTCCCTTTTTTGATCTCCCTTGTTGCACAAATGTGTAACTCTCTCAAACAGCCTGCCCATCTCCCCTCTCAAATGTACCATTGGGTCCAAAAACCTCATCATAGATGGTGAATGCTGTTTCATAACCGTTCCCATTATCACTTTTAAAATGGATTATCATTTTGGAATGGTCTGAAATGAATGTTTACGCAAAGGATTATAGCACTCTGAGTAGTGAGATGGAAATGATAAATGTTTCAAATGCGTGAGTGTTAATATTCTTTCTGGATGCACCTCCAATTTATTCTATCTTTACTTTATTAAGCTTTAATCATTTATTTTTTTCTGAAATGCTGATTCTGAACTCTTCCAAAAGCGTTTCATTTGTTTAATTAAAATATCAAAGATTGTGTTTAAGATTATAAATTTACCAAAAAATTTATTAAAAAAAATATCTATATACAGTGAGGGGAAAAAAGTATTTGATCCCCTGCTGATTTTGTACGTTTGCCCACTGACAAAGAAATTATCAGTCTATAATTGTAATGGTAGGTTTATTTGAACAGTGAGAGACAGAATAACAATAAAAAAATCCAGAAAAACGCATATCAAAAATATTATAAATTGATTTGCATTTTAATGAAGGAAATAAGTATTTGACCCCCTATCAATCAGAAAGATTTCTGGCTCCCGGGTGTCTTTTATACAGGTAACGAGATGAGATTAGGAGCACACTCTTAAAGGGAGTGCTCCTAATCTCAGTTTGTTACCTGTATAAAAGACACCTGTCCACAGAAGCAATCAATCAATCCGATTCCAAACTCTCCACCATGGCCAAGACCAAAGAGCTCTCCAAGGATGTCAGGGACAAGATTGTAGACCTACACAAGGCTGGAATGGGCTACAAGACCATCGCTAAGCAGCTTGGTGAGAAGGTGACAACAGTTGGTGCGATTATTCGCAAATGGAAGAAACACAAAAGAACTGTCAATCTCCCTCGGCCTGGGGCTCCATGCAAGTTCTCACCTCGTGGAGTTGCAATGATCATGAGAACGGTGAGGAATCAGCCCAGAACTACGCGGGAGGATCTTGTCAATGATCACAAGGCAGCTGGGACCATAGTCACCAAGAAAACAATTGGTAACACACTATGCCGTGAAGGACTGAAATCCTGCAGCGCCCGCAAGTCCCCCTGCTCAAGAAAGCACATATACAGGCCCGTCTGAAGTTTGCCAATGAACATCTGAATGATTCAGAGGAGAACTGGGTGAAAGTGTTGTGGTCAGATGAGACCTAAATCTAACTCTTTGGCATCAACTCAACTCGCCGTGTTTGGAGGAGGAGGAATGCTGCCTATGACCCCAAGAACACCATCCCCACCGTCAAACATGGAGGTGGAAACATTATGCTTTGGGGGTGTTTTTCTGCTAAGGGGACAGGACAACTTCACCGCATCAAAGGGACGATGGACGGGGCCATGTACCGTCAAATCTTGAGTGAGAACCTCCTTCCCTCAGCCAGGGCATTGAAAATGGGTCGTGGATGGGTATTCCAGCATGACAATGACCCAAAACACACGGACAAGGCAACAAAGGAGTGGCTCAAGAAGAAGCACATTAAGGTCCTAGAGTGGCCAAGCCAGTCTCCAGACCTTAATCCCATAGAAAATCTGTGGAGGGAGCTGAAGGTTCGAGTTGCCAAACGTCAGCCTCAACCTTAATGACTTGGAGAAGATCTGCAAAGAGGAGTGGGACAAAATCCCTCCTGTGATGTGTGCAAACCTGGTGGCCAACTACAAGAAACGTCTGACCTCTGTGATTGCCAACAAGGGTTTTGCCACCAAGTACTAAGTCATGGTTTGCAGAGGGGTCAAATACTTATTTCCTTCATTAAAATGCAAATCAATTTATAAAAAATTTGAAATGTGTATTTCTGGATTTGTGTTGTTGTTATTCTGTCTCTCACTGTTCAAATAAACCTACCATTCAAATTATAGACTGATCATGTCTTTGTCAGTGGGCAAATGTACAAAATCAGCAGGGGATCAAATACTTTTTTCCCTCACTGTATGTATATGTATGTGTCTATATATGTGTGTGTGTGTGTGTGTGTGTGTGTGTGTGTGTGTGTATATATATATATATATATATATATATATATATATATATATATATATATATATATATATAAAATAGATTTCAGCTTCTTTGTCAAGTTTTCAATATGTTTTTCAAAAGACAACTTGTCATCAATCCACATACCCAAGTACTTATAGTGAGAAACTTGCTCCATTTGGAGTGCAAATACACAAGTCCTCAGGGTCAACATTACAAGACCTAGAGAACAGCATAAACTTGGTTTTATTTTCATTTAACACTAATGTAAGATCAGTAAGTGATTTTTGCATCGAGTCAATCATGCTGAAGGTCACGAATGGCCTGCTGCACTGAAGAGGCACAGGAGTAAAGAACTGTCTTCTGCGTAGAGATGAATGTTACAGGCGTTAACAGTATTTCCAATGTCATTTATATACAACGTGAACAACAATGGCCCCAAAATCGAACACTGGGGTACCCTTTAAGCACGTCAAGAAATTTGGATTTAACCCTGTCTATCATAATAGCCTGTAGTCTATCATAAAATAACAAAGCAGTCAGGCTGCATTTGATAATTCCGTGGCATATCATATATGGTTGCATTATGCTACCTATGCATTGCAATGTAAAGAAATGGTTATCATTCTGGAACTTTTCTAATACAATTTTGAAAATGCATTTTTCTTGAAACCCTTTTACCCTCTTTTAAATATTTTATTAGCCCAAATTTATTTGATACAGTACCACGATCACGATTTTAAGATATAGGCTATTGCTTTCAGTCTCCTGGCCAAAATGGGTCAACTGATTGTGACTTCAATACCCAAGCTTCCCTTTTCTCTCTCTCCCCACATTTGGAAGATACTGAGCTAGGGTGTGTTGCACTCTGGCAGGGTCCAAGAGCATGAGTCTTCTTGACAAACTTTTTCAGAAATCAGATAAAACGCCCCTTTCATCCAGCACAACACCAAAAATAACCCAATGTCCCCAGAAGGCTCTACTAATCTAGCATACCTCACCTCACCTTGCTACACATGTCAAAACTCTCCCATTTCCCCTTCAGAAAATCAACTGTGAAACCTGTGAAGTTTGGCTAGACTGCTGATGTCCCCACAAGGCCAGTAATGTGCTTTAGGGCATTAAAACAGATAAGCTCTTTTGACCTCGACCTTGAATGCCTTTACCTTATCACCAAGTAGCAGAGTGGCTCAACCTCCCAGAGGGCTTCCTCAAATGACCAGAATGTTGCTGGCCAAGCCAAGGACCAGAATGTTGCTGGCCAAGCCAAGGACCAGAATGTTGCTGGCCAAGCCAAGGACCAGGATGTTGCTGGCCAAGCCAAGGATAAAATGGCTGTGTTTACACAGGCAGCCCAATTCTGATATTTTGCCCAATTATTGGCAAAAGAGCTGATCTGATTGGTCGAAAGACCAATTAGTGGAAAAAGATCTGAATTGGGCTGCCTGTGTAAACGCAGCCGTTATGGCTCAGACCAGCTCCCAGTCATTTTAGACTGTGCTAGAGTAAGGGCCAATGAACCAAATAAGATTGTCATCACAGGGGTAGAATACTATATGGAGGAGCATGGACAGTTAATTAGACCAGGGTTGTGTTCAGGTTGTCAGTCGAGAGGTGAAGAAGGTGTGGCTGTTAGTTAATTAGTTGTATCAGGTGTGTTATTGCTGGTCTGGAACATCCTCTCTAGCATCCAGTTTTTGGTGCTGCTCACTGCTTTGCATTGTTAGATGGTTGCAATTGATGGACGATAACGTTTAGCTATTGGTTCCCCCTCCCTTCACTGCTACTACCTGTCAACCTAAATCCAAAAGTGTGATTTGCTCATTGTCTGCTTATTGATTAGTTTCACTCTGTTGTCTGAACCTGTCTTGCCTGCATTGTGCTCCATACACCATGCTTAAAGGTGCAATGTGCAGAAATCGCTCCGCCATTTCCTGGTTGCTAAAATTCTAATAGTTAGCTTAATTTCAGTTCGAGACAAAACAAGCAGTCATTGTGTAGACAATCATTGTGCCATCTAAACCTCTGTGAAATATATTTTCCATAACCAAAAATATTGTATTTTCAGCTGTTTGAAGCTGGTATACAAAACCAAAAGTAAAAGATGCAAAAACTAAACTTAAAAACAGGATGCATAGAAATAGCGCACATAGAAGAGATTTTACATTTTAGTCATTTAGCAGACGCTCCTATCCAGAGCGACTTACAGTTAGTGAGTGCATAAATTTTCATACCGGCCCCCCGTGGGAATTGAACCCACAACCCTGGCGTTGCAAGCGCCATGCTCTACCAACTGAGCTACACAGGGCCTTGAGATCTACCTCTTCTTAGACTTTCTTTCAATGAGAGTGACAGATCTACAGTCAGTGGCAAGTTTATTAGATACATCACCCCATTCGTGAAAATGGAGGTCGAAGGAGAATGGCAAGAATCGTGCAAGCTAACAGGCGGGCCACAACCGGGCAAATAACGGCGCAGGACAGTGGTGTGTAGAACGCCATCTCGGAACGCACAACATGTCGGTCCTTGTCACGGATGGGCTATTGCAGCAGAAGACCACACCGGGTTCCACTCTCATCAGCTAGAAACGGCTCCAGTGGGCACGCGGTCACCAACACTGGACAATTGAGGAGTGGGAAAAACAGTGCCTGGTCCGACGAATCCTGGGTTCCTGTTGCGTCATGCTGATGGCAGAGTCAGGATTTGGCGCAAGCAGCATGAGTCTGGTGGCAGTGGTGTAATGGTGTGGGGAATGTTTTCCTGGCACATGTTAGGTCCCTTGATACCAATTGAGCAACGTTTCCGTGCCCCAAAGAATTCAGGCTGTTCTGGAGGCAAAGGGGGGTCCGACCCGGTACTAGATAGACCTAATAAACTGGCCACTGAGTGTATAACTCACATTTATATGTCCATTATTTCAGGTCGCCCAAAAAGTTCAATATTGCAGCTTTAACAGTGCTGTTTTTCTGTGACTTTCCAGATGGTTTGACATTGGCTGTCTGATCCTGGAGGATCCTGGAGCTGGCATTCACATTGAGACCTTCACTCAGGCTACTCCACTGGCCTTGGAGCACGTCCAGCAGGTAGGAGCTCACAGCTGCCACTACTGCACCCTCATGTTAATAGTACAGTTCACCCCCACAACACAATGACGCTCCAATTAATTACATTTATTTAATGTATCTCTTAATGTGGTTGCATGTGTTATCAATGTTAGATTGCTGTTAGCACTCAATTTTAGCACATACCATACACTTGTGTCTATTGAAAAAGTAAAATGGAACTTTGGGATGGAGTTTTAGCCATCACTGTAACGACAGGCTGCTGCTACCCATTGTACCATAAGTGGCCCTTTTCAAAGTTCGACCTGTCAAAGCAGTAGCATGGTGTTGCATTGAAATAGAATTTCGTAATGTAAACTTAATTGCCTTGACTTAAAACTCTGTGAAAATGACAGTCTTTCGGTCAGTGCCTTGTCACTGGCAAAATTGGAACATTGTTTCAAAGTGAAAGGGTTTGAAGGCAAATTGCTTTCCAAATTGTTATAATTTAAGCAGTCTCGAAACATGAAATATGAAATCATGTTTATTTATTAAATGTGAGTTGAGTGTAAATTGGTGTTAGTCTACAGAATGTGGGCTAGACAGTGTAAGGAGAATGGTTGTATGAACAGGTGTTGATGAAATTAACACCTTCCTGATTACACTATGCATGTAAACGTTGTGTCAAGTGATAGTGTTCCCCTCTTCCATCCATCCATCATCCCCCCCTCTCTCCTCCCCTCTGCCACCTGTCCCCAAAGGCCCAGTCCCTGACCCCTCCGGACTACAGCCTCCGCTGGTCGGGCCTGCTGGTGACGGTGGGCGAGGTGCTGGAGCGCAATGTGCCCAACGTGTCGCGCACGGACTGGCACCAGGCCTTTACGGGCATGTCTCGCCGCCAGATGACCCAGAGCGCCGCCAAGGCCCTAGCGGGCATGTACAAGCAGCAGCTTCCACCCAGGACAATGTGAGGTGGCACCATATCCCCCAGCCACCATGTCTCAATACTGACAATTAGGGGGAGGGAGAACCAGAGGGGGTTGGGCAGAAGAAGTGGCAGCTGTTTCGCCAAATGGGATTCCTACTCTGCTTCTAGCCGTCCGTCCTGATTGGGCAAAAAGCCAAATGCAATTTTCTCGTTATGTTTTATTATTTGTGTGTAGCAAGGTTTTATGGTTTGAAACATTCCGGCATGCCAACTGGTTGGAGAGAACGATGGAAATGGATTGTTCCTTCAAAAACAGGGAAACCATACGTTTTTTCTAAATCAACTTTTTCCCCCAGCTAAGGCCCAAAAAGAAATGCAATTTTTGAGATATCATGGCAAACTAGCTCATTAAAGTAATGATTAATTATTTGTAATGATTATTTGAAATTTGTAGATTGTCCGCCTTTTATTGAGAAAGTATTGTTATTTGTGACTCTTGATGGTAAATATCTGAGATCTAATTAACTTTTAATATATTTAACAAACTGTATTCAAATCATGTAAATATGCAGAATGCGGTGTTGTATTAGTTTTGGATGAACACGCAGGTGTACGTGTTTTATAAATGGGGAACGATCCAGTGCTTTGTCTTTTAGAGCAGGGGAGTCGAACTCATTTTGCCAGGTCCGGAGTGAGTCACTGAAAATGTGTTATATTTCCATTATAGGTAGGTCCATTATAATTTCTACACATTTTCGCTTTTGGTTTTAATCATTTTAAAGTATATTGGGTTTGTCCCCCCCCCATGTTTTATTTTACTCAAACCGAATTGGACCCTGTATGTTTGACACCCGTGTTTTAGAGCGTATAGCCAGTGATCGTGTTGTACGTCAACCACCAACCTTCCATTCCATTTCTCTCTCCTTACCACACAAATCTAATTTTTTCTATATGAATTACCTGCAGGCTAAATGCTATCTTGAGATCGTTGCATGTAACTTTTATTTTTATGCAAATCTCTCATTGACGTCAATGTGGGATTTACATAAAAATAAATTTCACACTTGGCCCATGTAACTCAATGGAGGCTTTGGACTGAATGAGCTGTAATGTGTGCACCGAGATATCAGGGCCTTTAAAACCATTAGTTGTAACGTTTTGTACTTTTGTTTGTTGTATGTATACATGTGTACGTTCGTATGTATGGATACGTATGTATACGTGTGTTAATATAAAAATTGTTGCTCTGTACATTAATGCTACACAGGCTATTACATGCACACATACTTTACATGTTAGTGGAATCCAATGATTTTCAAATGAAGGGTGAAATTACATTATTTTCGATCTACGAATTGGAATGATTCATTGGAAGGTGTTTCCTCATTGAAAATGACTTGCCTGATGATTTTTTTTGGAGCCCATTTTATCTTAAGTCAATCCTTTAGTTTGTCCAATGTTACCGTTGTTCTATACTGTGTGAACGCACCCCTTACAAGAAAAACAAAAAAAATGTTACTCGAGTGGTAACAGAGGAGTGCAACAGGAAAACACAAAGCTGTATATGATCTCTGGGTTTTGTTTGGAAGGCTTCCATTTGTTATTCGTTGCTGCTGCTCGAGGCTGTAGTACTCCCTGTTCTCCAAAACATGGAAGTCCCATGGTAGTGGGATGCAACACTACTAGATCAAGAGGTCAGTAAACAACTTTTCTGGGATAGTTCTTCAACTATGCCAGAAAAATACTAGGACTTTGCTTTAACTCTTTGCTTTTTAACTGGTTTTATGTCCAAAAGATAGTGATTTTCTGTGTTGGTCTTTTCTTGACTCCTAAATGTGCCTTTCTTCATGGGGAGAGAGTAAAGATCAATTTTTTTCATACTGGTTTGTCTCTCGTTTGAATGGTTATTTAGCTTCGATAAGATCTGCCACATAGGCACTGTCAATGTGTAAGAAACTGACACCACACACACACACACATCTCTGCCCTTCACAAGCAGTTTATACCTCAGAGTAAGATATAAAGATATTGACAGCAACTCAGTGCTGAAACGGCCTCCAGAGACACAATTAACCTACGGATCGATGCACCATCGCTGGATTCGCTCTGCTTATTGTACAAGGTTGGAAAGGTCAAGAAAATCCTGGGAAAGTCATGGAATTTTTTATGCTGTTTTCCAGGCCTGGAAAAGTTTTGGAAAATGATAAATGCTGAAAAATAAAGGAACGCAAGGTGGTGGCCTTGAAATTAAGTAGCTAGCCGATCAGAAAGTAAATCATTTACAATAGTGCTAAGTTCAATTCAATGTAATTTAATTATTAATTTAATTGAGAAATGCATATATTCAGCAATAGCATCACCAGAATACTAATCTTGATATGGTACTACAGTACATCCATTAAACACTAGTAAGGTTCCAATTCTAAGACTTCCATTGCAGTCCTCGAGATCTTTAAGAGTCCCTTTTAAAACAATAACTTTCAAGCTCTTTCAGAACACCAGCTGTATCTTCTCTTACACTTACAAATGCATGATTAGACATTTACACTCATTAGTTATTCACACTGCATAAATTAACGTTTCCCCTTAAAATGTAATTACGAAGAACAAGGTACATCCCGCAGTGTCAGGAAACAGAAATGTTAAACTCTGTCATCAGCCTCGGGAGACAGTAAAAAGTACTGCCTGGACAAAGAGGTTGTTTCCTAAATGACACCCTATTCTCTAAATAGTGCACAATTTATGACCAGCCCTGGTCAAAAGTAGTGCACTGTATAGGTGATAGGGGGCCATTTGGGACACCGACAAAGAGACAACTATTAGCAGAGATGACCTCATGGTGAACACACAGAGGACAAAGCGACAGAAGAAGTCAAAAGGATAATTGTGTTAGTGGTAGTGTGTTCACTTCCAATGACCTCTCGACTTACTGCTGTGGCCATGTAGTGTACAGTTAGTGTTATTTTATGTCAGAGATGAGACAATGAAAATAATAGTTCCAATAAAATCTAATGTTTTGCATTATCCTGGCACAGGATATTATAAATAATAACCATAGGTTTTAAATGTGTCCAAGTAAGTAGATTGAAATATGTATCTGCATGAATGCTATGAGTCTGGCCACTGAACTGATGAGACCTTTCTTGATAGCTTTCTCTTCAGTGCCTTTGCTCGTATCTCTCCTTTGTTATATTGCTACTAAGTCCCCACTTGTTGTGTAGAAGTACTGTTTTTGTTCCATACCAAGTCCCCACTTAGTGGATGACCCCGTGAGGCTACCCACTTCCTCATGTTCCCATCCCATCCACATTCAGTTAGGCCAGTTTGTCGTAGTCATGAGTTGGAGTGGTTTTGTATACGCTGTCCACTGTAATTACATTCTACACCAAGTGTGTGATAGGATCGGCCTCTTAAAGATGTGGATGAAATATTAACATTTCACGAGTGGTGCGTGTGTGGCAGAACATGGAGGGACCTGTGGTTAACATTGCCATGGCAACAAGCCAGAGTCTATTGAGTTTATTGCCAGTCATTGGCTCTGCAGTTCATAAGAATGAGCTTCCACGCTCAGCTCTCTACAGTGAATAACAGTCATACTGCAATATAATCCCTATTCAACTAAACCCCAGTGCAACAGATTTCTTGGCTCACTTTGTTCTCTTAAGGCTGAATATATTAAGTATACTGAAGAAGTTGCAGCATATAAGATCCCCCTTGTCTAAGGCAATGGGCATTCCTCACCTATTGTCAAGTGGTTTTAATTGCCTGGCTGATTTCAGTGTAGCCCCCGCTGTAAAACAGAAAACCAATTACTACACCACTGTGGAACAGGGCATGTCAAATTAACTATTTCATTCCTCCTTAGGTCCTTATTGTTCCCCAAGTTCTATTTTTCAATATCCACTCAGGGAGTACCAGCACAATAAATAATTTGTTGTTAAAGTCTTTATGATGTAGCAGTATCTTTTTATCAGGGTGTTTATGCTGTTACAGTATTAACTTCTATTTCTTAAAATCAACCCAGGGAGTTCCTTAGCAGCACTTGAAGACATTGGAGACATTAATTTACAAAGTCTTTATGTAGCAGAATATTTTCATCAGGGCATTATGCTAATGATGCTGTTACGGTACTGCCAGGGGTAATTTAGGCCTATCACATTGATGTGTAGACATTTTCCTTTTTATTTACTCAGATACCATTCAAATGTTTCTCTATGTATCTGTTCAAGTGCCAGGACCTCAGAGATACATTGACATTTAGCAATATTCCAAGCACGGAATATTGCAGGATACGGGCTCAGTGGAAACTGCTAGGGCCCTCCTGGAAGATTTATCTAACAGTCTACTGCAGTGAGGCCTCAACATTAAGCAAATACACACACACACACACACACCTCTCGCTAAACACACTCTGTTAAAAATAAATAGATCACTTCTAATTCTCTTCTAACAGCCTTGCGGGAGTCTGAGTGAAAGCTGTGAAATAGGAATTGAAACCCAAGTGGAGATGTAAACGTGATGGGAAATTGACTTTCTGGTTTGAGACTAATGGGAGGGGTTTTGTTAACAAGTGGGCTAATCGATTCGTCTTCTTCTCTTGAAAATGAATAACAAGTTCACTTTCTGGTTTGAGACCAATGGTAGCGGGTTTTGTTAAATACCAGCTGAACCCCAAAAAACATTTATCTGGTTGAAAACGGCCTATGTTGCATCGATATTAGTTAGAAACATTGATTCTAGTATAAAAGTTACACTACAAAGTGTAAATAGCATCATTTTGGCCATAAAGTCAGTATCTTCCAAAACAGAGATTTGCTATTGCGTTCCTAGATCCATTGGATATTTGAGGGTTTGGTTTTGATTTCGATCATGCCCACTAACACGGATGGGAACGCCTGGGGAGAATTGTCATGCACGGATAAACAGCTGCACTGATTAGGCTCTATCCAATCGTACAGAGCTTCTAGGACTTGTTTACATAAGACAACATGTCGCCAATGTTATGTTGAAATGCGACTTTGCCCCTAAGCCCTTTATCAAGTGACCACTTGCTGATGTGTTTGATAGTGATCACTTGAGTCTGCCTGTTTTGGGTAAAATGAGAATTGAGATGATGTGCACTTGCATCCCAACTGCCACTTTTCAATATTCCAAAATTCTAAACCCATTCGTGAGTATTTTGTGTCCCGCCACGACCTGTTTTGTAACATGATTCACTCTGACACACTGCCAGACAGACGCACTCTCCGGTAATAGATCATGTGCCTTGCACAGCGATAGGACATGGTACATGGGATCAGAGAGCAGCATCCCAGTGTCAATACCACATTACGCATACTTTTTTATAAGTACATAACGACGCCGCTAATGGTTGGTCATGGAAATTTGGTTAAAAGTCATGGAAAAGTAATGAAATTCCATCTGTCAAAATGTGTATGAACCCTGTCCCTTATTTCCGTTGTGATTTATGTATTGCACTCAGTAGCAGCCTTAATCAGAAGCAACCTTTTTTTCTTTACCCCCGTTTGAGGGAAAGACGATTTTGTCCTTTGTCCTTTATCTGTCACCTTCAAATGCTCAAAGATGGCCAGTGTAACGAGATAACAGGCACACAGGCTTATTAGGTTATTTCTCTTGTTCGCTGAAACTATCAGAGACTCTCCAACAAAAGACACGTAATTCAGTGGATGGACAGCTTTAGTTGGCTATCAACCTTTCAGGCCATTCATCCTTGCCGTGTTAATCTCGATTTTAGCTAGCCTAGCCCTC